CTAAATAGCCATTAATGGGGGAATAGTTAAATACATCATTGTACATCCATGATTTAGAGGCCATGTAACCAACAGAAATAATAAGATAGTGATATACATATATAAGACATATATAATACAGAAGTAATAAGAGTGATATACATATATATGACATATATAATACATATATAAGACAGATTGTTCAGTGGAAAAAGTCAACTTACCGAGAAGTATGTTGTGGTAGACATGTAGGTGCACCTATAGGTGTGACTTCATGAGAACTTGTTGCAAGGAGTGTAATTGGTTAGCAGTCCTCAACTGACAGTGTTCACACCAAAACTATACTCTTCCTGGGGCTCAAGATGACTGAGCTCAGCAGATTTTAGAGCCCTGTTTTTTCTGCCCGTGCAGATTTCCCTAACAGGTAATCTTTGCTTGGTGACTACCCATGGGCACGGAGAGACATTCTCAGAGCTGCACTGAAATATGAGTCTCGTCTAGTCTTGATTCCTTCCTTCTCTCCTTTCACAGGCATCGGACCTGTTTTTCAATCTAAATTTTCTTACCTCCTACATATGCCCTCTTTCCCTTTTATTACTCTCAAGCATCTCCCCTAAAAATCTTTGGCATGTCTAATTTTGTCTTGGCATTTGTTTTTCTGAGGAATGGACACTTGCATGAAGGAAGATATCACTGATAAAAGCCTTGCTACTAAACAGCACTATGTATTTCTATATGTGCATGTATATGCATATGAAAAGTTCTGGAAGAATGTGTAATGAACTTAAAACTGTGGTTACCTTTGCATAGGCAATTTAGATTGGGTAGTGGTGTGGCCATTTGAATAAAAATGAATCATTTATTCATATATATGTTTGTATAAGAATAAACCTACCTCCAGAAGGTTAAACAACAACAAAATGAGTAAGCGCTGCTACCAGGGAAGGGGAACTGAATACTTAGGACAAGTGTGAGGTACATTTTTTCTTTTTTTTCTTTTTATGCCATGTGTATGAATTACATTTTTAATTATTTTTAAAGGTGGAGGGGGAGAGCTGTAGCTTTGCCATAATCACTATAGTACTCATGCATTAATTAATGTGGGTTTACCACCCTCATCCCAAGATTGTGTCCTACTGAAAGATCCAATGTACCCAAGTTTTATACATTTGGGAGCAGGAGGTGGCTATAGTCTCATGCGTTCTCTCTTGAGTGTGAGATAACTGCCTACCAGGAAAACTAAGAGCAGCTTGGAACAGGGCCATATTCTTTCTACCTATTTTTTTTCCTGTTTAGTATAAGAATCCAAGAAAAGCATTCTACAGGACCTGTTGGTGGAATGTGATGAGATTACTCTTGGGTTCTGAGGATTTAGAAAATTAATTTTTCTCTTAATACAAGAAAAATATATCTTCAGTATGAACTACTTAGAAAACTACTTTGAAAATATAAATGTGCTAATTTATATTTGTGAATTCATCCACTAGATACAGCAACAATTAGCATTTTGGCATTTATCATTTTAGAATTTTTTTTTTTTGAGTTGGAGTCTCACTCTGTTGCTTAGGCTGGAGTGCAGTGGCACACTCATGGCCACCCCAGCATCCACCTGCCAGGCTCAAGCGATCCTTCCACCTCAGTTTTCCAAGTAGCAAGAACTACAGGCGTGAGCTACCATGCCCATCTAATTTTTTTATTTATTGTAGAGATGAGGTCTCGCCAAGTTTCCCAGGCTGTTCTTGAACCCGTGGGCTCAGACAATCATCTCACCCTGACCTCCCAAAGTGCTGGGATTACAGGTTTGAGCCACCATACCCAGCCCATTTCAGAATTTGTAATCTTCAGCAACTGTCTTAGTTCATTTGTGCTGCTATAACAAAACACCCCAGGTGGAGAATTTATAAAAAACAGAAATTTGTGTCTCATAGTTTTAGAGGCCAGGAAGACCAAGATGAAGGCGTTGGCAGTTTTGTTGTCTGGTGAGGGTTCATTCACTTGTCTTAAGGTAGTACCTTAAATGCTTCCAGAGGGTAGGAGTGCTACAACCTCACATAGCAGAATAGTGTGAAACCACTTCTGCAATCCCTTATTATAGTGGTATTAATCCATCTCATGACCTAAAGGCTCCATCTTTCAACATAGTTATTTTGGGATAAAGTTCACAATACGTGGATTTGAGGAGACATATTCAGAGCATAGCAGCATCATGTATATACATATTTTTTCCTGAAATGTGATGATAATACATGAACACATTTGTAACTTACTTTTAAATTACCTTTTATATTTCAAAATTATATATGTGCATATTTTAAAAATCAAATCATTTTAGATCACTTATTATAAAAAACAATAGTCATACCTCTTTTCTTCCCTTATTTCCTGCTCCTTATAGGAACCACTTTTTTTCTTGCTGCTGCTGCTGCTGCTGCTGCTTCCTCCTCCTCTTCCTCCTCCTCCTCCTCCTCATCCTCCACTTCTTCGTCCTCTTCTTTTTTAGGGCTTTGGTCTCACTAGGTTGCCCAGGCTAGTCTTAAATTCCTGGGCTCAAGGGATCCTCTCATTTTAGCCTTTTGAGTAGCTGGGACTACAGACACATGCTGCTGCACCTGGCCTGATTTTTTAAAAATAATGAAATATGTACTAAGCTAAATTACTTTATTAGGAGGATAACAGGGAAGAGATGTATGAAAAAGATAAATTTCTGTTTTTCACAGTAGGAAGTCAATAGCTAAAGACTAAAACTGAAAAATCAAAAAGTAGTAAAATAAGCATGCTGGTTAGAAAAATGGGGGTAAGTACAGAAAAGAATCAGCTAAAAGAGTTGAAAGTTTTTGCCTATGAGGCTTCTAAACAGATCATTAAATACTACTCCTGTTTTTCACCTTTATCTTTACCCCAACTTCCAGAGGTATCTGTTACTACCAATTCCTTGAGCCCTTTGAAAGTTCTGTGATAAAACTTGAGTTGTTTTCTTCGTTCTCCGATGGCAGCTCACATTTCAGCATTATCAGTTTTGCTAAGTCCATTACTATTCAGCCATGTTTCTGTTAACCTAAACCTTCAACACTGTTGCCATTGTCTCCTCTACTGTTCTTTTTGTCATGGTGAATGTATGACTTAAAAAAAAACTTTTAAAATAAAAGACACACCTTTAAAACACATCCTACATTCTTACCTAGAAATAATTACTTTTTAAAAACCAAACATCTTTTCATACTATTACGTTTTCCTGCGTCATACTTTAAGTAGTTAATATTCCATTATCCAGATGCAATATAATGCACTAAGTCTATTTCCCTGTTAAATATTTCCATTTCCAATTTTTTCTATCAGTTAACAATAAAATTAATATCCTTGTAACTAAATTTCTATAAATTGACTTAAGAGGGCAAAGAATGAAATAGATGCCAACACAAGGGAGGAAGAATCTCAAAACAATGTGGTAAGTGCAATGGTAGAGATGTACACAGTATATTATGGAAGCCCAGAGAAGACAAACCTAATGCAACTTTAGGAAGATATGGGACTTCTGTTCTAAGAAGGCTCTCAGGAGGAGGTGGTGATGAAGCTGAAATAGGTGTTAACTGGGTGGAGAAGATGAATAGCATTCCAAGAGGAGAGAGCAGTATGAGCAATTCATGGAGGCAAGAAAGTTATATACAGGTAATTATCCGTAGGCTGCGTGGATCCATAAGCGTGGATTGCAAAAGATGAGGCAAATAAGGCAGGCAGAATTCAGTAAGGCCTCATATGTCTTGTTAGGAAGGTTTTAATATATTTTTATGTGACATAGAGTCACTGAAAACTTTTGAGTGGGGGCTATCTGAAAAGAGATTAGAGAATGACAAGATGCAAGACAGGAAGATACAGGAAGCTATGACTGTCATTCAGAGACAATGAATGTCTGAGAAGGAATTTGGGAGAGCAAGATTCTAGCTTGAAGAATTCAAAGACTAATTAGTTGGTAAAATCTGTAGCAAACAATAATCAAAACAGTCTGGTATTTGTAGAAGAACAGGCATATGGACCAATGAAACAGGATAGAAATTCCGGAAGCCAGACCTCAATTTCTCAACCAACTCATCTTTGACAAAGCCTTCCACAACAACCACTGGGAAGAGGAGAACCTATTCAGTAAATGGTGTTGGGAAAACTGATCACATGCAGAAGATTGAAACAGGACCTCTACCTATCACCATACACAAAAATTAACTCTAAATGGATCAAAGTCATTCTACCAAAAAGATATCTGCACATGCATGTTTGTTGCTCTGTTCACAATAGCAAAAACACGGAACCAACCATACTGCATCGAAGCTGGACTGGATAAAAAAAAGTGGTACATATACACAATGGAATATTATGCAGCTATAAAGAAGGACAAGCATATGGACTTTGCAGTAACTTGGATGGATGTAAAGTCGGTCATACTTAGTGATCTATCACAGAAACGAAGAACAGAGTACCATATGTTCTCACTCATAAGTAGTAGTGGGAAACTGCTGGGGGTGGGGGGTGAGATTGGGAGTTGAGGGCAACTGCCAGGGGAGGGAGGGGCATGCCTTATCAACAAGGGTACCTGTATAATGAACATTTGTATACCTAACCCTGAATTGTACCCCACATCTTTAAAATAAAAACAAAACAAAACAAATCTGTAGCAGAATGGGTTGAATGTTGGGAGTGGGGTGAGAGATGGGAAGAAGTGGAGTTTAAATAGACCCAGGTTTCTATTTTGAGTGCAGGAGAGGTGGGAGACTGATCAGAAGACCAGGAAATATACATCTCAGGGAATATGGTGATGGTTGCAAAAGGCATTGGATATTGTCCTTCTGCCAGTATTAAAAGGGATTCTAAAGGGATTTTCCTTCCCTTGTTCCCTCAGCCCTACACTTACATTACTGGACTAAGTGGATACTCACCAGCTGGCTGTGTCCATCATTACAGCCAAGTCTGAGAATTCCTGATTATACTTAGAGCCTGTGGAGCGGCTGACACACGCAGTCATTAGCAGACGACCCTTTTGTAACAAACTATGCTTTAAAATGTAAACGGTGGAGGCATTTTCCTTGCGTTGTCCAGAAGGAACTTTCTCCTGCGTAGCCTGGATTAATCATGAGAGAGCTTGTCAACATTCCACTGGTACATATTCTTACTCTGGTTGCTTTCAGCGTGACTGAGAAACTTCCAAAAGGTTGGTTTCAGCAATCTTCTCTCCTTGTTGCCTTGTCACAGTTCTAAAGCGTATGTGTACTATGATTACAACTGAATCAGTGTGGTGGGCTTGGGAAAGTAGAATGGAATGTATGGAGGCGGAGGAAACTATATACATAAGTAACGGGGTGATGATCTCTCTACTGATATTCTGCTCCTAAGTTCTGCAATGAAAAGTTTAGCCATACAGTGCACTCAGAGCCCTCACTTCTAGGGGGAAATATTAGCAGGTAGACTGCAAGTTATCAAGTTCTGTTTTGTTTATGTATTTATGAGTATATTTTATGGGTATGCCATTTTTCCAAGGTAGTCCAAATGGATGAAGAAAACATTTTCATATCAGGTTTGCCAAGAATATAATCAATGGTCTCTCAGACACCCAGAGCTTTTGTTTCTGAACAAAAAATCATTTCAATTTTTAGTTTTGGTTTTGTAAAACTCTTAATAAATATCTAAATTGCTAAAAGTCAGAAATACAGAAAGATGCACACAATTTGCCTATATAATAAAACCCAAAAGACAATGAGTTCTAAATAAATTTGAGGCTGGAGTCATGGCAAGAGACTGCAAAAGTTTTTTCAGAGCCTTTGGAATGTACCGGAAATAACACCACCTCAGAGGAAAGGAAAGCAACTTAAGAAACTGACAAACACCTGTTGCAGTAGCAAGAATGTCCACAGTGATATGGTTTCTGGCCAGTAGTATTATGAAACTAAGACTAGTGTATTTCAAATCAGAAAAACTAGAAAATATGTAATTCACAAAGTGACTGAGGACTTCATTTATATCTTTTTTTAATAGAAGACATGAGAAAGCAGATTGAATGGTATTAAACAGTTTCAAATTAATGCTTTAAAATGGAGTAAAAAGAGTTCTGCTTGGGACACAATCAAACAAATTATTTTCTTTTTATATTACTTTACCAAAGCACTGAAACAGTTTCTATCAAGTAGATAAGTGAAGGGTAGTATCTGTATGTAGGTGGAAAAAATATCTTTAGATTTTGTGGTTTACTGAAAATTCTGGAGTCACAAGGTTGGGATTCACATGCAAATAAGATATAAATTTCTTCTTGAATAATCTGATTACACAGATTTTTTGTTTTGTTTTGTTGTTTCACTTTTTCCACTTTACTTGAACAGAATGGTATCTTCAAGTGTATTTAAACATCTAATTTCCAGTTAATACTTTAAGGTATCTTCAGATAAAAGAGAATCTAGATATTTTCAAACAGCTAATAATAGCCAGATAGACTTAACATTGGCTTCAGATTCTTTTAATGCTTCCTGATCATACTACGGATGTCCGGTAAGACAACACCTGGATGCTTGAACATATCCATATGTTTAAAGTCTTATTTGTGTTATTCTAAACCATACAATTACATAAATGACAAGATTAAATCCTAAAACTTGATAAAAGTTAGTCCTAAGGGAGCAGAACAATGGAATTTTATGGTCCAAATCAGAATTTGGTGAACACACACACACACACAAACCCCCCAAAACCTTTCTATCTGAATAAGTCCTAATGTTTCTATATTCTAGAAAGAAATTATTTCTAGTTGTAAGACTTTACAGATAAAGCTCTTAATTTAAACACATACTATCTCTATTTTGAAAATTTCAAAATGTGGTAGTATCAACGTAACAAAGCCAAGCATCCTGCCTTTTAAATAAACTAATCAGATTATAAATCCAATTTTGAATCTTATAATTCATTTACTATATACTTAGATTTTAAAACTAAAAAACTGAAACAATATAGTTTTCTTAGTCTACTGTACTAATTGTAAAATCTAAATTAGTATTAGTTTAACATCAACCTTAGCCAAAAATACCATGACTAGTAGAGCAAATATCAATTTGCTATACACATCAGTTCTAAGAATAAATAACATCATGAAAACAGTCCTTAAAAGTTTAAGTGTTAAGGTATGAGATAAAAATTGGTAGAAATAACCATTATAATATTTTATTTAATACTGTTGAAAATAATGAAAATATTCCACCTTATCTATTTTATAGTTGTTTTCTTTATTCTTGCCAAAGGTAATAACAAAGAGATTTTTAGATGCCATATTTTTCTGAAGTTCCTCATCATGAATGAATCAAGGAAACTACATAATAATGTATTACAAAATAAGCTGACATTTTAAATAGTGCAAAAATATTCAGGGAATTCTTTTCTAACTCTCTGCACACAGGTTCCTTGACAAAGTTAATACCAATTTTGTAGAACTCGTAACTTACTGTTTCAGTTTAGTTTAATTGAGACTCCTATCCTAATGTTCAAATATAAGGGGGACAGTCATTGTATTTTGGAAGTATTTCAACTAGTGATACTTTTCAATGGCGAATTTAATTTCATAACCCCAAGTAGGAGAATTTTATAGTCATGTATGAAAGTAGTTAACATTTCATTGAATACTTGCCTTAACCATATATGTCAATAACATGTAATGTTTTATCAGGCAATAGTAAGCACATGGTGTAGTGTTAAATTCTTCAGGAATACAGGAGTTCATATAAGAAGTCTAGATTTGCTTAATGGACACAAAGAACTCTTGCCAAAACTCTACCTTTAAAATTATACCTTTTACTACCATACCTTGAAGTGTTTGAATCTAAGTGACTTATCTTTAGATATGTTTGAATAACCTCTTCTTTTAAATTGTATGCATACAGGGATAAGAATCACAGATTTAACATATGACTAAGTCAGTACCAGCACAGCTGTTATTGAAATCCAGGACACCCAGTACTGGATGAATGTTTTATATTGACGTGCATTGAAAGAACTACGCATTACATGTTTGGATAAACACAGTTGCTCTAGATATTTTTGAGCTTCAATATCAGAAAGAGCAGAAATGTCAAGATTTTTATAAACTACCTTATTTCCAAAGGTGAATTAGGCAGCTTCTCAGTGAAATAGGACTTGAGGTCACTGGGGAGATTGACAAGTGAGAGGTGAAGTGGACCAGAGGGGAGTGGTCCCATTCAAGAAAATGAGAGGACTGCATGAGCCATACAAAGAACCCAGCTAGGGCTTTGGACTACACCAGTCTTTATAGCGCCCTGAGCTGAACAGTTGTTTTACTTTATCCAGAAGTGCTATATGAATATTAGGTAGCTAGGACAGATGGTTGGATTAATTCAGGATTGGCGCTTTTCCAGGCTCACTGCAGCTACAGAAGTGGAAAGTAAAGTGTTAGAGTTATATGGCAACATACCTTGGGGTGTAGGTTGAATATGAGGAAAGTGAATCAACATTTAGGGGATAGAAGAGAATGTTGAGATTATGTTCCTTCTTCCTAGTTCCTGATGTTTTTCTGTGTATCTTTAGGAAAGGCACATAACTCTCTGTGAGTCTCAGTTTCCTAGAAAATGAAAATTTGCCTACCAATGCTTGACAATGATGGTTATGTATTATGCTATGAGTAGTCAGTGATTGGAGTAGGTGCTACACATGTTTTAGATGAGACCTTATGAGACCATGTTTTAACCCAAAGGAATGCTCCCAGGAAGAGCAGTTTCAGAAATTTAACAGGTAGAGTAGAACTTTTATCTGCCTCTGCCTGTGACATCCCAGAAAGCAAGGACCAAGGGTGTTTTCTGTGGCAAATAATTAATCATACAGCATTAATAAATGGATATTAAGTATTGTTACAAGTTACAAAGACATCATAACAAAAAATAATCAGTGAGTAGTTGGTAAGTTAGTGGCCATGTGCTAGAGTCCATAAAATACAAAGGAAGAGTAATATCACATCCTTCTCACCAAGCAGATAATACTGAAGTTAAGTTACTCTTTGGGTCCAGAAAATTGTTGTGTTCATTTTCATGTATTTGTTATTCATGCAGTCCTTGGACTGAGAGAATAAATAGTGCCCTAGTTTAAACAGGCTCTGGCTGAGATGAAAGCTGGATAGTAGAATGAAAGTAAACAAGAGATAGTCTGCTGAGTCAACAGATATCATTAAATACGACTATGGGATTGTGTTAGTAAAAATTTGAAAGCAGATTTGGATAATTGTAAATATGAGTAAAGTGGACTTAATCAACTATATTCTGCCTATAGAAATTAATATTGATGTAAATCTTCCCTTTTTTCCCCTCTCTGTGCATGACCAGTACTATCTTAAAGACAGTATATCTTAGAGTTAAGGGACTGGAACCTTAATTGGCTGTAACCCCGAAGTTCAGCTCTATTACTTTCTACTTTTGTGAGGTTTAAACAAATTACCAAACCATTCTTAGCCTCCATCGCTAACCTGCAAACGGGAACATTAATAGTATCTACTTTTATGTTTGTTGTGATAAATTAAAGAGATGAGAGAAAAGTATAAGGCATAGCACATAGCAGATTCTTAATCAATTTTAGATGCTAATATTATAAAAACAGAGTAAAATCTCATATAAGTCTGTCATGTCTCTGAACCTTATGGGAAAGTGTTAACAATAAAGTTCTTAGTAACACCTCACTTATTTCTGTTTGTCTAAGTTTTTCAAGACACTCTGACTTATTTTATCTTAACTGATCTAAACAAAGTTAGTGACGTGCCATTGGAAATATAACATTAAGTCTGTTATCTCTGCCACTTCTGCATCTGTATAATGAATGAAAAGAAACTAATGAATGAAGTTTATTTTTTATAAAAATAATACACAGTATTTAATGTTTTTGAAAACATAAAATACACAAAGTTTAAAACATAAAAAACTACCCATACTTCCAGGACTGTTAACATGTTGGTATATTTTCTTCCACTTTTTTTTATGTTGTTTTTAAACAAAGCGCTAATAATATTGTTTATACAATTCCACTGCCTGCTGTTTTTCTTAGCAATAAAGCACAAACATATCCTTTATTATTAATACTCTTAAAAATATCATTTGCAGTGACTATGTAATTAATATCCTGTTTAGAAAACAGCGTGCTGGTGTATGTTTTATATCTACCTCTCTGAGAATAAAA